GGAATACCGTAGTCCTTTCATCTGTACCTCATGTGTTTTCTTATGCCTTCCTGTCCCATAGCCTTCCTCTTCCAATTTCTCTTTGTGAATGTAGTTAGAAAGCCTAACTCTGGCTTTCCAGTCTACACTCACATCCCCTTGCTTCTAACTCATTAATTTATCTGGATTCTTGCCATTCACAGGTCATAGAATGATAGACTTGTCTTTAGAGATCATTGGGTTCAGGCTCCTTTACAAATGACACAGGTCCAGAGATGAGAAGAGACTCCAGCAGGGCCAGAGAATTATTAGTGCAGCTGAAGATGGGGCTTAAACCCATGCCTCCTGGCCACATCCCATTTCAGACTCAGAAACAGGTCTCTCTCAGACCCATGATTTCTCATGTCAAGGGATAACAAATACTTCAGTTTCTGGACCAGCCTGTGGTATGGTGGTTAAGGTGGCTAGATTCCCACATAGCCAATTGTGTGGCTCAAGTCATGTACCAGGCAGCTTGAAAAATATGCTGGATGTGTGTGTGTGCCCAAAATCCCAAGAGGAGAATGAAGGAGAAGGGATTGCAGCATGGCCATCCCCCTGGGAAGGAAAGGTCTTAATTTCCTTCTCTTTCTCTCTCTCTCTGGCAAGTGCATGTATGCTATAGCCAAAAAAAAAGAGAAAAAATATTGTTTTTTTGCTATTCGTTTCCATTCCCTCCCCATCCAGGCATAAAGAGAAACAAAAAGGACTGATAGTTTTCTCTGTCCCCATGCTTGGCACCATTTCTGGTGATGTTGATAAAAAGCAGTGACCTTGCTAAACATGCTGAATAATCCACCCATTGAATAGCTAACCTTGGGAAGAAATGAAAATTTGCTATGTGAATCCTCTCCCCACCCCCAAACCACTGTTCTCACTAGGCCCTTTAAGAGCCACTTTAACCCCTTGACAGTGCAGCCTTATGCACTGGGCCTGAAATCCACATCAACTTCCTAATGCAACTGCCCTTCCTTCTGGATACAAAACTTGATATTTGAAATAAAGATTAACTATGAAAATGACATATTCAGAAATATTCTTTCTTTGGGTTGAGGGTGGCAAGAGACCCAGAGCCAAGATTTTCTCAACTGCCTCCCACCCTACACACAGCTCTTGATCATTTCATCTCTTAGAAGTTCTGTTCCCCTTCCATAAGCAAAAGTTGGATGGGAAGGAATATGGGGGAGTTGGGTAGCCCTGGTATAAGACACCCCAGCAGGAAACTATATGCATAAAAAAGTTAGGTCAAGGTGTAGCCTATGAGGTGGAAAGAAATGGGCTACATTTTCTTCCATAGAAGGAAGTAACAACATTAACTTCCACAAAACCTGGGAGTCCAAGGAGGGTTTAGTAGTAAACTGGGAATAGAGAGCGTGGTTGAATTAGGCCATAAAGCACACGCACACCGTCCATCACCCTCAAATACCTATTAATCCACACATTCATACCACCATTTGGTTTGAACTAGAGCCCAACTCTAGTTCCAGCTGCTGGAACTAAAGGGCACAGTTTGCAGGAAGCCCTTGCTTCCTCAGGTGGGGGATTCTTCCATAACAGTCTTATCTGAATTACATTCTGCTCCGTAAGTACTGAAGGGAAGAGCAAAGCCCTTTCCTTATTAAGGGCAACCCTAAAGCAAATAATGAAAACGGGGGGTGGGGGAGCGGCAGGTGGTATGGTGGTTAAGGGTGCTGGACTCCCACATGGTCAATCACGGTTTGAGTCCCAGACCTAGTGGCTTGCTTTCTCAATTTCCCTCTCTCTCACTCTGTCTCTCTCTCATCAAATTAAAATAAACAGGGAACCAGCAGTTGGTGTAATGGCTATGTCACTGGACTCCCACGTAGTCGACCGCGGTTCGCATCCTGGACCTGGTGGCTTAAAACTTACGCGGGGCACGTGTTTGTGTGTGTGCCCAAGATCCCAAGAGGAGAATGGAGAAGGGATTGCGGCGTGACCATCCCCTCTGGGGGGTTATTTATTTCCTTTTATTTATTTATTTATTTTACTATAGGGGGTGTATGCTCACCCGAAAGACAGAGAGAAAGTAAGAAATCAACCTCCTGGGGGGATGGCCACATCGCCATCCCTTCTCTTGGGCTTTTGGGCATGCACACACATGTGCCCGGCGTGAGTTTAAGCCACCAGGTCTGGGACTCATACCGCGGTCAGCTACACAGGAGTCCAGCGGCATAGCCATTACACCAACTGCTGGTCCCCAAATAAAATTATTTAAGAGAAAAAGAGAATGAAAACTGAAGAGGAAAAGCCAAGGACTTTTGTCTAATCCAGAATGGAGTGATAAAATAGATAATAAAGGGAAGGAGTCTTTGAAAAAGATCAAGTTCTTTTTTTTTAAATCTCTTTAATTTGATTTATTCATTCATTTATTTTAATTTGGCCAGAGAGAGACACAGAGAATGAGTGAAAGGGAAAGTGAAAAAGCAAGCCACCAGGTCTGGGACTCGAACTGTGGTTGGCCTTGTGGGAGTGTCTAGTGCCTTAACCACCACACCACCTGCTGGTCCCCCAAAAAAGTTCTAACAGGATTAACACCCCCCCACACACACACACACATCACCTGAATGATGAAAGAATCCAATTACCTGCACCACATTCCTAATAGGAAAACCCTAGCTGGAGAATAATCCAATACCTCAATGCATCATAATGGTCAAGTTGTGATGTCACTCAAACACCCACTCTTCCGTATGTGTTGTAAGTGAAGCCAGATATGCTGCAGCGTAGAGTCAGCATGAGAAGCAGACACCCGAGGAGAGGTAAGTGGGCCTTTGGGGGGAGGGGGGATTCTCACCATGGGTTACTGCCTAAGGTCTCTGGGGCCTTAACCTCTTTCCAGACTTCTCACATCTTGTAGTGTTTGGTGATAGATTTGTCTGCACTTTCCTCCACAAATATCTTCAGTGAAGCTTTTGCTGTCCCAAATCCTCAATACTTGCCATTCTGACTAGTCAGTTCTCCCAACTTTCTCCAGCTTCTTCCAGCTCTATTATTTCTTAGGAGGTGACAGAAAGCTGGGGCAATTTCCCCCTAAATGGATCAGAAACAGCATATCTGGCTAGTCCCAGGGTAGATCAAGGTTTTTGGGTACCACAAGCATACAACTTTTGGAGTCCCTTTTAAGAAAAATACAGAAGTTGGCCTTGTAATGCAGTGGTAAAGGACTGTGCATAGGAACTGGATCCCATATGGCTGGCCACGGTTCAAATCCTGGCCTGGCAGCTTGAAAAACATAACTGGGTACACGTGCATGACTAAAACCCTGATGAGAAGGAGAAATGGAGGAAAAAGGATTATGGCATGACCATGCCCCATTGAGTTTTCTTTCTCTCTCTTTCTCTCTGTCTCACAGCTGCACATGCCCACTAGCAATATTAAAAAGAAAGGAAAGGAAAAACAATAAAGCAAAATTAGTGCAAGTCCGCAGCATGGTGGTTAAGGCAGCTGGACCTCACATAGCCAACAGCATGGTTCAAGTCCAGCAACCTAACCAGGACTCCATCTGCTGATCCCTATGATCATAAAGAGTAAGAAAGGTAATTCAGTCTGCTAGCATGATTGTTTTTATTTTGATAATAATTCACAAAAATTTCACACCTTGTAATTGATAATGTCACATAAATTTTTAGGATTTTTGTCATACTTGGAAAAACCATGTTTCTGGGAATGGCAGGAGGCACAGTGGTTAAGGATGCTGGCCTCCCACATGGCTGACCACAGTTTGATCCTGGACCTGGTGACTTGCTTCCCCCCCCGCACCCCCCCATCAAATTAAAGTAAATAAATAAGTAATGTTAAATAAAATAATTCTTAGAAAAGAAAAGGAAAACCATGTTTCTGTGGCTTAAGATTTTGAAACTTTTTAGAAGAGATTTTTGCAGGGCCCAGCAAATGGCATAGTGGTTAAGGCGCTGGACACTCCAACATGGCCAACCATGGTTCAAGTCCTGGACCTGGTGGCTTGCTTGTGCTCTCTCTCTCTCTTTCTCTAAAAAAAAAATAAAAATGAATGAATGAATAAAATTAAATAAATCATTCTTAAAAAAATTTTTTTGCTACAGGGCATGTAAGCTCACCAAAAAGCAAGAAATCACCCTCCGCCCCTAGGGGAGATGGCCATGCCATAATCCCTTGTCCTCCATCTCTTGGTATTTGGAGAGGGATTTTTTTTTGGGGGGGAGAGGTTTTTGCTATAGGGCGCATGCACTCACCAGACAGACAGAGACAGAGAGACAGAAAGCGAGAAATCACCCCCCAGGGGTATGGCCACACCTCAATCCCTTCTCCTCCATCCTCCTCTCGGGATCTTGGGCATGCACGCACAAGCGCCTGGCATGGGTTTCAAGCCACCGGGTCCAGCACTGGAATCGTGGTCGACCACATGGGAGTCTAGTGCCTTAGCCACAACCTGCTAGCCCCTGGAACACTTCAAAGTTGCAGTGATTAATGACATACACTCTGAATTGATGACATTAGGAGTATTACTGGAAGTGGGGCCAGCAGGTGGTGTAGTGGTTAAGGGTGCTGGACTCCCACATGGCCAACCACAGTTCAAGTTGTGGACCTGGTGGCTTACTTTCTCACTTTGCTGTTTCTCTCTCTCTCTCTCTCTCTCTCTCTCTCTCTCTCTCACTCTGTCCCTTTCTGGTCAAATTAAAATAAAGAGATAAAGTTAAATAAAAAATAATTCTTAAAATAAAGAGTATTGCTGGGAGTAATGTAAATTTCCTACAGTTGCCATACCATGGCTTAAACAACAAAAATTTGTTTTCTTAGTTCTGGTGGCTAGAAATCCTAGATCAAGGTTTCCACAGAGTCGGTTTCATTCTTTTTTTAAAAAGTTATTTTATTTCAGGACCCGCAGTTGACATAATGGCTATGTGGCTGGACTCCCATGTAGTCGACCACGGTTCGAGTCCTGAACCTGGTGGCTTAAATTCACGCCAGGCACATGTGCATGCATGCCCAAGATCCTGAAAGGAGAATGGAGGAGAAGAGACTGTGGCATGGCCATCCTCCCTGGGGGGGGGTGATTTCTTGCTTTCTGTCTCTCTGTCTCTCGCTGTCTTTCTGGCGAACACACACGCCCTGTAGCAAAAACCTCTCCCTTGAAAAAAAAATTATTTTATTTCATTTTGTTTACTATCAGCATTATTATTTGTTTCTATTTGCCGAGAGAGAAAGCCACCACGTCTGGGACTTGAACCATGGCCGGCCATGTGGGAGTCCAGTGCCTTTAACCACCACACAACCTGCTGGCCTCTAGAGTTGGTTTCATTCTGAGGTCTTTCACCTTGGCTTGTAGATACCCATCTTCTCCCAACATAGTCATATAGTCTTTCCTCCATATGCACATGTCTGTGCCCAAATTTCCTCTTGTAAGGACATGAGTCATATTGGATTAGAGTTCACCCTAAAAGATCTCATTTTAACTTAATTACCTCTTTTTGTTTGTTTGCTAAAGGGCACATGCACTCACCAGAGAGG